ATGGTGGTTGGATAAAGGCTTATACAGAATTGGCCAATATTTTAAGAGGGGAGACCTCTGACTTTGGAATACTGTAGAGAGCATTTGGGCATGCCATCATCGGAGTTGTTTCGTTACTATCAGATTACTATTTTTTTACACAAGATAACAGCACGAAGTGATCCAGGTAGTAGCCTCAGCCCGTATGAACGCAGGTGCCTCCACTCCATTAACCAAAGAGGGGCCATCTCCCTGTTGTATTCCATAATGTTAGAATCTCCCCCCAAACAGCCATATATGCGGGCCTGGGAATGGGATTTGAGTAAGGAAGTGTCGGAGGAGGTGTCGCTCAAGAGTGACAAATTGGGGCCTGCTTAATGTCTCACTGATGGAAGCCAATTTTAAGGTCTTCTCCAGGTGGTACCTGGTGCCCTCTAGACTTGCTCTTATGTATCCAGGATAATCTCCCCTATGTTTTCGAGGATATGCGCTCGGGGGCACCATGTACCACGTGTGGTGGGCTTGTCCCCGCATCCGTACATTTTGGGGAACGGTGTTCAATTTGATCTTCCGGGTCACGGGAGTGCGTGTCCCTAGAGATCCCGGGTATGCTCTCCTTAATGATACCCTTCCCGGGGTACCTAGACACTGTACACGACTGATAATGTTCATATTTCTGGCAGCCAAAATTACGATCGCTAAGGCCTGGAAAACACCTAGGGTGCTATTGAGACAAGTAAAGAGCAAGTTGTCTTGGATCGTGACTCACGAAAAATTGGTGAGTATTCTTCTGGATAAAGTTGCACAGTTTGAGTTAACATGGGACCCGTAGCTGGCTTACGAAGGCAGTGTAGCAATATGAGAGTAAGTAAAGTATTTTGGTGCTTAGTTTGCCTGGACCAAATTAATTAACTGGTTCCCTATTTTGAAACTGGGCTCCTTGGCTAGTTATATCTTAATTGGTTTTCCCCATTTGCCCCCCTTCTTTTTTTGGTGGGGTCTCTTCTTTTTCTCCTCTTCTTTTGTCTCCCTTTTTTTTTTCTTCTCTCTTTTCTTTTTCTGTTTTGTTTACGTAGTTGTGTAGGTCGGACATGTAAGTTAATGTGTTAGTTTTATAAACATCATCTAGGCAGGGATTACTGAACGCCCAAATCTGGTGGCTACTAGTTATTATTAGTAGAACAGTTCTAGGATTGCACATTTAAAAGGAAGATCATTAGGGAAATAGGTTGTCTCTTAATGGGATTAACCCTAGTAATATATGAAACTGAGGGGACTAGGATGGTAGCTAGATGCTAGGAAAGCCAAAATAATGACTGGTAAAATAACCTCTATAAGAACGTACTCTTCCTAATAATGTATATTATGGTAATGTTGTCTACCCTAATCTAAAGGCTATCTATATGTATTTGTATTAGGATGAGAATAGGAAATCAATGGGGCTAGACAAGTAATGTAATTTCTAGATGGATGTTATTTTATTGTATGGTTGTATTATAAATGTGTCTTAATATGTGTTGACGAAAATAATAAAATAAAATATTTGAAAGAAATAAAAATAAATAATTTATGGGGTAGAAGACTATAAAATTGTAAAAGACAGCCAGTAAGACACCTACTATAACTTTAGATTACAGATGACAGATGGATCTCATATAAAAACCTCAGGAGGCCATAAGCCTTGGGTGGTTTAGCACTCCCTGATTTCAAGACCTTTCACATTGCTGCTCAGCTCACCCAGGTTGCAGATTACACCTTTGGTGTCTTGCAGAAGGGATGGCTAGGTCTGAAACAAGTTATGAGTAATATTCCTCTCGATAAGTGTGTTTGCGTATTACCTTAAACAAGAAAATAGGATTTTTGTACTCATGTAAAATCCCTTTCTTGGAGTATATTGAGGGATACAGGTCCATTGCCTCAGTGTTTCTTTCATGCTCCCAGTACTGCATTGCTACATAACTGAGGTATGATGGTTGTGGGTGGGGTTATCCTATGCTGATTACTGACTTTTTTTATACGCTGACCAATAAGAAGCGCTATTTAGCACAGTCAAATACAGTTTTGGTTAGGGATGCACTGCTACAGAGTATTTGGGTGAGTACTTGCACTCGCCCAAATGCTCCAATACCTTCCCGATACCGGAACTTCTGGTCAGAGGAAGATTTCCTCTGACCAGCAGTGCCGTAGGGGAACATGGAGCCAGTTTCCCGTGCAATCAGGAAGCGAGGCGGCGAGTAATGACCCGCTTCCCTGATTGGCTGGGAAGCAGGGATCCCAGCTAATCAGCAAGGAGCTGGCTTCCCGGCCAATCAGCATTGAGCCAGCTTTCCGGCCAATCAGGTCATTACTTGCCACCCAGCCTCCTGATTGGCCGGTAAGCCGGATTGATGCCGATTGGCTATGGAGCCGGTTTCCCGGCCAATCACAAATAAGCCGGCCAAACAACATGGAGTCGGCTTCCCTGGCAATCAGGAAGCTGGGTGGCATGTCATTATCCGCTGCACGGTTCCTGATTGCCCAGGAAGAATGCGCCATGCTCGGTATCGGCGAGTACCGAAAGCAAAATAATCGGTACTCGATAGCCAAAAAACGGTATTGGTACATCCCTAGTTCTGATTAAAACAATTTTTTTGTATTTTTGTATTGTAACAAGTAGATTGTCATGAGGGACAAGTAGATTTGGCCCCCGTTTTAGCCCTTGAACAAGTAGGTTTTTGTTTTTTAATGTCCACACTCCTGTACAGAGAAGCAGAAGCCTAACATTCAGTTAAACTTTATAGCAGTCGCAGAAACAGTATGATGCAAACCATGCACTGCAAAGGTTGCAACCCACAAAGGGACAGAAAGACCCCCCTAAGGCTTAAAAGCAGGCATGGGAACAACCAAAAACAGAGCTCGCAAGAACAGACACATGTCCCCCTAGCATCTAAGTTCTAGCCCAGAACAGTCGCCTTACCTATAGAGATAATGAGTCCTGAGGCCACAGGGCTAAGAGTGGAAAGAGCTGAAAAATCAACCTCCTGTAGATGTGCTGCAGTGTGATGAAAGGGGTGAAGACTAGACATAACACAGCTCTGCCTCTCCCCCTGTGACATTTGTGCAAGCCAGCGCTCCCTTAACCCCCTCCTTGCCATGCAAGACAGTGATGACAAGGAGATAATGTCTAAAAAAGCATCTGCAACCTGATAGGACGCAGCCCTATGGCAATAGAGGAATTGTCCACACATTGTGTGCAGTCAGCTCATTCAAGTAGCGGAGTCTTCAGAAACAGGGTCACACGTAGAGGTCTCTGCCACAGCTCTGGCCCTGGAAACTGGTCCACAGTAATTTTCCACAACACTTTGACACATGCAGCAAAGTCCAGTAGAAGGACTTTCAGGGGTGTCCTGCAGGGAATGACACTTTAGAACTGTAGCAGAGAATGTTCCCATGTAACATCATTGGTTGAAGTCGGTGCTCGATGGCTAACTGTAAAGACTATTCAAAACTAGGGATGCACCGAAATGGAAATTTGAGATCAAAACTAAAAAAATGTCTTAGGCCGAAACCGACTTTTTTTTCTGATCCTAAATATTTTTCTTTACTTTCAACTATTTTATTTCCTTTTCTTTTTTTTACTTTACTGTCGGGTGCTCTGTGGAAATATCAGGAGTCTAAAAAGACTCCTGATATTTCCCTTTTAAAACAGAAAAAGAGATTGAGGATACAGAGTCTTCAATCTCTTTTTCTGCATCCCCTGTTATAAATGAACAGGAATCCTCTATGCTGAGTGTTCCTGTTCAATCATGCATTGTGGATATAGTGTACACTCCCCGATCAGTGTTTGTATAGCTGAATCGGCTGACACAGGAGAGAGGTGGGCAGTGGGGGAAGAGAGCTCTGCCTCCTGTGACAGATCACAGCGCTTTCCGCCACTCACCATCCTGACACAGGAGGTGGAGCTCTCCTCACACACCTCCCGACTCTGCCTCCTGTGAAAGCCAATGTCAGGATGGAAAGCGGTGAGTGGAGGAGAGCGCTGTGATCTGTCACAGGAGGCAGAGCTCTCCTCGACCACCGACAGATCACAGCCCAGCACCGCTTTCCATCCTGACACAGGAGACCGAGCCAGGAGGAGAGCTCGTCCTCCTGCAACTATCACCGCCCACCATCCTGAAAGCATCTCACCAGCCTGCTGGGTGCCGGCGCTGAATTGGAAGGTACACAGACCAGCACCCAGCGGGGAGAAGAGAAGCTAGGGATACACTGAATTTTTGGCTGCATTTTCGGCCATCATGGCACTTTGGGCATTCTGCCAAAAGTGCAATTTTTGCCCGAAATTTCGGTGCATCCCTATTCAAAACTAAAAGGTCTGGTGTAAATTTGCCAACAGCTGTCAGTTGAAGAAAACCCCCACAAAGTATTGATCAGAGAAGCTGAGAATAGAGGTTCACCCTCCTAAGATGACTCAGCTATAGGTAGAGGGAAAGGGCACAAGTCTAGCCAGTGGCGTCACAAGGGTGGTGCGGCCCGAACCCAGGTGACACCATTGGAGGGGTGACACCAAAATGACTCAGTCCTTTTGGTGTCACGCCCCTCTGACAAGTCGGGCGCTCGGTCATGGACCGAACGCCCGACACTATCAGGAGAGAGGAGGGGACCCGGCGGCATACCTTATTCCGCCGGGTGACTATCCCCTCCTCTCTCTGTCGGCGTCCATCACCAAGATGGCCGCCGGCAGGTATCAGAATACTGCCGCGCGTGCACGATGACGTCATCACGCACGCGGTGACGTCACGCGCATGCACAGTGACGTTTCGGCGGGGTGACACTAGGTTACCGCTCCGGGTGTCACCCAGCCTCGGGACGCCCCTGTGTCTAGCTTCTATTCTTCTGGTGTCCCTCAATGGATGGTAGAGAAAATGAAAAGTTTAACAAGAACAGGTAGATGTTTGTTATATTGTTTAGAAACAGATTCTACATGTAAAACAAATACATATTAATCAACAACAATTTTAACAGTTTTAGCAGTTCAAACTTACACAAGTTTTGCCACAGCCAACGCTCTCTTTGCATCTGCAGTTCCCTGTACAGAAATAAGAACAAGAATTTTTGTAATTGCTGTAAAATTTTTTGCTCCAATGTTCATTAAGGGTTACAGCATAGGATATTCAATACACATAGGTTATGCTGCCTAGAGAGTTTTAACACTAATTTTTGACAAAACAAAAACAAAAAGGGCCCAGCTGCCTCTAGAGGGCATAACCCTCACTTGCTATGCTGTCTATGTTGGTTTGAGGACCTGGAGGGGGTAACTGAGGATCAGTGAGACTCAGGAAGTGGACCAGAGGAAGCCTAAGCTGACCGAGTATGAGCCAAATGAGACAGCGACACCAATTGACTGCAAAACCGAGGACTGGCGACTGGCCGGGAGAGCACAGCAAGTTGGCTTCTGTGTGAGATTACTGAGAGAAGGATTTCTATGTATGGGTATTCCTTCTGGGCACTTAAAGAGGGATCAGCGCTATCTGACCGCTGTGTAGGTCAAGAATTAAGGTGAGCTACTTCCCACACGGAGAATTCATAGAGGTGCCACTTATAAGGTGTGGGAAGAAGAGTGTTATGACCTGAAGAATTATGCACGTTGTAGTGTGAAGATTGGCATATTCGTGGAGACGCTAAACTATAAACTTTGGGGATACATTTGTCATTAGTTCTTGTGAGAAGAAGAGAGTCCCCACTTGAAGGATTATACACTGTGTGGTGTGAAGATTGGGATATATAGTGTAAACTTTTGGGACAATAAGACTTTTGTTTGAGTCACATTGTTTAGTTGGGCATTGGAATAGAGATTACTTAGCGTTATTTTAGTGAATACTAAGTATCAAATTATTATTGTTGACCTTTTGTGTTTTACACAACGTTTATCTTGTAATGTTATATATTTTCAGTGGAGTGGATAAGCTAAAGTAGTTTATATTTAGGTATTGGTTTATCACTGTAGTTTTTACAATAGTGGTGAGAGTGCAGCAGTGTCCGAATTACATTATTTGAGGTTTTACCATTGTATAACTGAGTGTATGCAGCACATCTCTCACACTTAGTCACAAATTGGCACAAGATATTATCAGATATTAGGAGTGGAAGGAAGTTGTGTCCCTTATTGAACAGGAAAGAAAAGGATTTCATGGGAGTCCAGAAAAATCTTATTTTCTCCATCGTTCATTGAGGGACACAGCACAGGGTATTCAGTACGCATGGAACATCTACAAGCAGTACCCAAAAACAGGGGCAGGCAAGGATATTTAACAACAATATAAAAAAGTAGCGAAAGAATGTAACAGAATCACACAGCTGCCTGCAAAAAAAAGTTCAAAGAAAAGTCCAATTAGGAGAGGCTGGTGTGTGGCTCCTGGTGGAAATCAGAACGGGGTGTTTGGTGTGTATCCTGGAAAAACAAAAAGAGAGAACTGGAGCGCCACAACCTAGCGCAATAAGGTAGGTTTTTAAAGGGGCAACACAATATTCACTGATATCCACTCACTCATGGCGGGGTTTGTAGTAAGCTCAACAGTTTGTGACCATGAGGAGTGGTGTGGTATCAGGTGGGTCATCCAGTGGCTGTGAGGAACTAAGCTTGGTCCGCAGGGTAGGGAAGATGGATCCGGTACCAAATTGACAGGGGATAACATAAAATTGAACAGACAATGTGTGTAACTTGATGCTGCAATGGAAGAGAAAAAACATGTACACTCATCCTCACAGCTGATGATGTTAATCTTGCATGAGAGGTGTTAATGTTGGTTTCTCCTCTATGTTCACGAAGGGTGGAAGGAGTCCTGCAGGATGTTCTGTGATCCCACTGGGAAGGGGGGTCCATTTGTCCTGAGAGGATCTAAGCTTTAGCTTGTGGCCCGGGTGTATGCCTTACCGCTGATGTTGTTCGGTTGGACGAGCAGGCATCTATTGGCGAGCAGGCATCTGTTGGTGATGACGATGGGGCCGATTCACTTTTGGTGGCGCGAGTAGATATTAGGGATCAGTTGTTCTGAAAGGTCCAGGATGATCTTGTGGGATCCAACATTGGATGGGCGTTGTGGATGGGCTGATGTGGGAAGTTTAGTATTGATCAGGTGTAAGGTCAGCTGGAGATGGGTCAGGGTCTGTGGAATGCTGGTATGGCAAAGGGTGGTGGTGGCTCTGCTGTGTGACGTTGCAGCAGTGTGTGTTGCTGGAGGGGCAAGAGGGGGGAGAAAGATGCCGAAGAGAGGGATACAGCAGAAGGAGGAGGGTGAGACACGGTGCAGAGGGAGATGCCGATCAGAGATTAGCTGGAGATGGAGAGTTAGGCAAGATGCAGCTATGTGCGTCACTGTATAGGTGGGGAGATACCGGGGAGAGAGCACAGTTGTGGAAGGAGAATAAGGCACAGTGCAACGCACACCACTGCACCGGGCCTCATTCTCCTTCCCCAGCAGCGCACGCCGTTGCACCTTGCACCACTGAACGTCTGGGAGGCACATAAATCCTTAGTGGCTCTCTGATTACACATGGGGCCAGACTCAAGAGGGAGAGGACAGAGACTATACCCTCCCTTTTGGATCAGATTTGTGGCCTTGAAGTAGAATATAAACAAGCCTTAGCCAAATCTATTGCTGTTAACCTAAAGATCCTCATGAAGTGCCTCAACTCCCTTCTGCTGCAGAAGATTAAGGCTCAACAGGCACAAAGAGTCGCAAGACTTAGTATGAATTTGGGAATAAACTAGGGAGCATATTAGCTAGGGCACTCAAAAAGGAAAGGTCGAAAACTTATGTTCCTCAAAAGAATTGTATAGGGACATTGGGGTTCACAACAAATTGCACAGGCTTTTAATGTCTTATTAGTGGGAACTATAGAACATTTCCCGCTCTTACCTCCCAGACTCAGGAACGGATTGGTTGGATGGTATTTCTGCATATCTCGCACCCTCAAGTATGCCCACACTTTCCCCAGTGGAGCGGGCATCCATGTAGGACCTTATTACAGTTCCTGAATTCTTATTCGCTCTGAAATCCAAGCAAACTCATAAAGCACTGGGCCCGGACGGACCCACTGTTCAGTATTATCAGACATTTAAGGAAGCTCTGGCCGTTGAATTTGTTGGAGCACACAATTCCCTCTTAGAAAGGCATTGCTTTCCCTTAGATTCTCTCTGCACCCATATGTCTGTAACTCCGCAATAGGGTAAGGACCTCTCTCAGTGCCCCTTCTATCGTGCAATCTCCTTACTTAATGTTGACCTGAAGATATTTATACAAATCCTTACCAACCGCATCCTACACCATCTGAAGAAGCTTATCCATCTAGACTAAGTGGGTTTTTTACTGGGTTCGAGAGGTCAGGGATAACACCATGAAAGCACTTAACTTCATCCATTTAGCCCACAGGCTTTGACTTCCCACTGTCTTGGCATCCACCAATGCCGCAAAAGGCATTTGACAAATGGACTGGGAGTTTCTCAAGTCCATTCTGATATATGTAGGCCTAGGGCCTAGGGCCTAATCTGCTCTTGTGAATTAAAGCTATCTATTCCACTCCAACCGCAGTACTTCTGGTTAATGAAGCCTCCTCAGACTTTTTCAGCTTACAAAACGAACGAGACAGGGGTACCCTCGCTCCCCCTTGATTTGTGTTCTTACCTTTGAACACTTGTTGTGCCATCCAGATGTCAAGGGAATCACTCTTGGCCAGGTTACTCATAAGGCTGCGGGTTTTGCAGACAACCTGCTTTTCTTTGTCACCCAACCTGTTCCATCACCGCCTTCTCTTCTAAAGACTCTTGAGCATTACAGTCAGCTTTCCAATTTTAAGGTAAATCAGTCCAAATCTGAAGCTCTAAATATCCTTTTTGCAGTGAGTTCTCTGCATGCCGTTCAAAGCAGTTTTCATTTTAAATGAGCCGAGCCCCGGTGTATATTAAATACAGTATCTAGGGATGAATCTTCCAGCATCCCTGGATAGGGTCTTTCCATTGAACTTTCAGCCCCTTCTCTTTTCTGTCAGGGGGGTTTTTAACCAGTTGACATCCGCGATGTTAAACCCCATTCCCATCCAGGCCATTTTTCAGTATTCAGCGCTGCGGTACTTTGACTGACATTTATTCCGTCATGCAGCGCTGTACTGAAATGAATTTTATACCCTTTTTTGGGGACAGATAGAGCTTTCTTTTGGTGGTATTTATTCACATCACTTCTGCATTCACAGCCCGGACGGAGATCAGCAAGGAGCTGATCTCTCGTCCTCCTCCTCCTGACGGTGGTGGTTGCCGCGAACGAGCACATATAGGCGATCAGCAGGCTATGGACCCGCTGATCGCCTATATGTCAAACACCCGGTAATGGGTGTGTTTAATGGTCGGGTCTTTTCTGTCAGCAGTGCCGTCCGTCCGTTTTTTACTACGGGCGGACGGCAAGAGGTTAAGGAATGGATAATAGACACTTTCTCTTGGTTTTGGAGAAACAGCATATTTAAAATGAATATCTTCCCCTGTCTGCTGTACCTCTTTCAAACCTTTCCTGTCAAGATCCCTAGCAGCTTTCTTAAATCGATACATGCAGAATTCAGAAATTTCCTATGCGCTGACAGCATCAATTCAATGGGAGCTGCTTAGCTAAGCATAAACTGCATGAAGTGTTAGGTTTTCCTGACCTGATTCTGTACTATAGGGCGGCCCATTTAACCAGATTGGTGCAAACATGCATCCATGGGTTCTGGTGGAACAACAAATGGACCAACCCTTGACGGGAGCCCCCTGCTTTCTAGACAATATGAGCTCAGTGTCGGGATCCCATCCCAAAATAGGCACATCCTTAATAGTCTTCCAACAGGTTGGGAACCTCCTAAGTAGATCTCAGGGTTTGACCCAAACCTCCCCTATTAAAAGGTAATCCTCCTTTTACTTCTGGCTATTAGATAAAGCTTTCAGAGCTCTAGTTAGGGTAAATTTGGGCCTGCCATTTTACCCCGTCAGGGGCCTGGTTTACTGTTCCGGAGATTCCGATGTTGGTAGATCCCCAGCTCTTGTTTTGGAGGGCAAGCCAACTC